GCATAAATCTAAAATTTTGTAAGGTTTATATTTAAAACAAAACAAAAAAATCTGATTAGAAAAATTAACTTTATTCAATGTATTTTCTCTTAAAATAAGTCTTATCATCTAAAGCAGTTTTGCTTTTTGAATAACTTCTTGTTTAGATATTTTTACTGAAACATAAGGACAAAAATGTAAGAAAAATGACAAATCAATGTTTATCTCAGTTGTTTTTTGAGAGAGCAATGAGATTAAATTAAGAGCAAATGGAAATGTTTGCTGAAGCCTACTGCTTCTCAGATGTTTTTCCTCTAATTTCATAATTAGAAAATGCAACATTATTAAAGTAAAACAATAAATACTAATAATTTATCTAATAATAATAGAATATAATTTAATACACTTTTTGAATGTACAGTTGTGAATAAACATAATGATTGTATTTGTTGTATACTCAACTTAATTTACACTTATTTTATTTATTTATATATTGTTATTTATTTACATTTTTGCTTGTCGAGTAGACCATTGCTTCTGTCATGTAAAGAACTGTGCAGCTTTCCATTAATCATGCATGTCATTCTGTGTGCGAATTTTCATGACTTGAAAACAAGATGAGTAATATTTGTGCAGCATTACTATTACTAGTGCTAATGAATGATTGAAAAAGTGAAAAAGTGACATGATGTGTGGCCAAGTCTGGTGTCCCATACTCAGAATTTGTGCTCTGCATTTATCCCATCCAAGTGCACACACACAGCAGTGAGTAGTGAACACACACACACCGTGAACACACAACCGGAGCAGTGCGTGTTCACTCAGTAACCACAAATTATTCAAAATAAATGCAAAGACCTAGTTTTTATGTTTCTACACTGAAACAAAAATGCAACAAAAATTTTGTCTTGATTTCCAGTACAAATATCTAAACAATCTTAAGTCAAGATACATTTACATAAGAAGCAAAATGATATAAATATTTCAGAAAACAAGACTTAACATCTTATCACATTTACAACATTTACTTGAGCAGAAAAATTCACATAAGATAAGTCTTTTTTTCTGAAAACTGCATCAAAATTAAGTGAGTTTGAGCTTAAAATACGAAGAAAAAAAATATCTGCCAGCGGGATAGGAAAACAAACTTAATTCAAAGGGAAATCAAGTTCATTTTGGCTGGGGTTTTTTTCTTGTCTTCTGAAAGATGTATCAAAATAAAATTTTGCTTCTCAAGTAAATCTTAGTATCTTGATTTAATAATGTTAGATATTTGTTCTACAAGACAAAAAAATAAATAAGAAAATTGTTTTTGCAGTGTCATGTAGGATTTACTTTGAAACCATTTTCACTCAGAAATTGCTAGTAAATTTCACAAATAATTACATATAACTTATGGGAAGTAACACACTGAATTAAACTCAAAATATTTGAAGTAGAAGCGATGAAATTTTATGGAAGCTTGTTTCCGTCTTTAAAAAAAAAAAAGATAATTGTGACTATTTGTCTCACAGTTCTGACTTTTTTCCTCACAATTCTGAGAGAAAAAAAAGGTCAGTATTGCAAGGGAAAAAATTCAGAATTGCAAGATAATAATTCACAATTGCAAGCAAAAAAGTCAGAACTGTTAGATAAAAGGTTGTTGCAGTTACCTTGCAGAAAAAAAACTTCCATAGTATTTTCTTCTAAAACATACTCCAATAAACTTAGCTTGATGAATAATTTTTTGCATTGCATATCTAATTCTTTCTCTTTCTGTTTTTCTCCAGGGTTTCTGTTTCTCCCCGGTGGGCTCATGCTCCTGATCTAGGGTGGGGGGGGCATCGCCCCGTTCTGCCATGAAAGGCTACACCCCCCAGCGCACCCGCCCCCTGTCCGACTGCGAGCCGCCCCGTTCTCCCAGTCGCCAGGACCCTCTGTACCCCCCGTCTGCCTCCTCCACCCTGTCTCATGCCCCGTTTCTCCTCCCAGCAGCCATGGAGCATTACGGAACCCTGGACCCTCACCACTTCTCCCCGTCGCCCGACTGCCTGATGCCCCTCAACAACCAGCTGTCCTCCAGCAGCACCTTCCCCCGGATCCACTACAACTCGCACTTCGATCAGGGCGACTTCGGTCACACAGCCGACAGCATCGGGGAAATCAGCTCCGGGACGCTGGGGACATCTATGTCCATGGGAATGGGTCTCGGAGTGGGACGGACCGCCATGATCACCAGCGGATCCGCAACTATATCGGGTAAGAACTGTAGGGCTGTCTTGAGAAACTTTTATAAAAAGTTAGCTATATGCAGCTAAACATCATAAAAATAAATGCAAAATTGCATAAATAAATAAGACGTCTTACTTTTAAGCATGAATTTAATGAGGTTTATGTTTAAAACAAACAACAACAAAAAAAACTTTGTTTGGGGTTGGTAAGATGTTTTAATGTTTTTGAAAGAAGTCTCTTCTGTTTATATGATAAAAAAAACTGGTAAAAACAGTAATATTGTGAAATATTATTACAATTTAAAATAATTGTTTTCTATGTGAATATATAGTAAACTGTAATTTATTTCTGTGATGCGCAGCTGTATTTTCAGCATCATTACTCCAGTCTTCAGTGTCACATGATCTTCAGAAATCATTCTAATATGCTGATTTGCTGCTCAAGAAACATTTCTGATTATTATCAATATTGAACACAGTTGTGCTGCACAATATTTTTGTGGAAACAGTGATACATTTTATTATTTTATTTATTTATCACAGATAAATAGAAAGTTCAAAAGAACTGCATTTATTTGAAATAGAAATCATTTGTAACATCAATATATTTACTGTAACTTTTGATCAATTTAATGCATCCTTGCTGAATAAAACAATTAATTTCTTTTTTTTTTCATGGAACACATAAGATGATTATATAATGTCTATGCTGCTCTGGAGGCTGTTGAACCATAAAAGTATTATAACAGTCCTCCATATGACTCATGCACATATACAAATCATATAAAATTGACTAAAATTTAAGTTCATTGTCCAATATAATTTATAACATTCAAACTTGGCACCTTGTAATATTTTTTACTTGATTTATCAGTGACATCAAACCTGGCGTGCCACATCTTCTTCATATGTTGGTTCTGGTGTACTGGTATGGCAGTTGTTGTTGTCTCCTGTCTTTTAATAAACTCTTTTTTTCTGAAACTTACCTGTAGAAATTAAGTGTTTGCTTGTTTTAGTCACTTTTTGTGTTTTTTTTAAGTATGTCTAAAAGTCCTAATGTGACTAATTAAATATGACAAAAATTAAAAGCGTTAATATATTTTAAGTGAATTAACCCATAACTAAAAAGTTAAAATTAGTGCTGATCACAATTTTCAAGGTGCAGTTAGTGGTGAAGCAAACAGAGCAATGGATGCAAGGCCTGTAAACCTCAGAGATGTGTGAGAAATAAAAGACAAAGGAGTCAGCTGACCTTCAGAATGTATATCTTGTTATTAAATGTTTCTTAAAATACAACATAAATCATTTGCATTTTCTTTGAAATAATAATGACAGAATACAGTTTTGTATTTGCATAACATTTTACTGCTAAATTCATTTTCAAAAGCTAATTAGCACCTGGTTAAGTTGACTAAAATTTCTGTGAATAGGATGCAGGGTTTTCACACTGAATTATCACATGTTGCTTTATGAATTTTGAGTTTATCCTGATTTACCTTCCTGTACTTTTGGCATTTAGGGGCAGGGAAGATGAACCGGTTGCCACCCAACCTCCTGGACCAGTTCGAGAAACAGTTGCCAGGGCAACAGGATGGCTTCAGCACGTTACAGTTCCATCGCAGCACCGCGGTGACGACGACCAAACAGCAGCAACAGCAGCGCACGGACAGTCCGGGAAAAATACGCTACTTAGTTCATTCCGTCCAGAAACTGTTCGCTAAATCCCAGTCGCTGGAAAACTCCGCCATTAAGGGAAACATGAACGGCCGCAACAGCAGATCGTCGAGCAGCGATGACAAACACCATCGGAGCAAAAGCAAAGACCGGGCAAAGAGCGAAGGAACGGCCAAACGGAGGCCTCGATCCAATATGTCTGGATACTGGAGTTCTGATGATTTGGACAGTGATATAAGTAACTATAGGAACCCAAAGGCCATGATGACTTTGGGTCGGCAAGGGGTGGGATCCGGACCGGGGCCGGGTGGACAGGTGGCATCCAGGTACTTCATGCAGGGCTACAGCACCATGAGCGAGCACATGCTGAAATCCTCAAAGAGTAACAGTGACCTGAAGCACCAGGGGCTCCCTGCACTCCCGGGACCTGGTGGCGGCAGTGGAGGTGGTGGGGGGGTCGGAGGAGGCCGAGAGCCGATGTTTGACGGGAACTTTGGTAAAGGGGGACCCTGGTCCACGCTTACGTTAGGACCCACCAGACAGGTGTGCCAGAAGGGCTCGGCCACACTGGATCGCACCCTGCTGAAGTCCAAATCTGTCCAGCAGGATATGGGCTGCCACTTCCTGCAGGTGCACGGGAGGGTGAGTGCATGGATAACACACGGTTATTGTGTATTGTATTACTGTGGTGGAAGCAAACCTCAGTAGGCAAGGGGGTGATAGAGTGTCTTTAGATCAGGTGTGTTCAGCCTAAGGTATACTGCAGTTTTAAAGCAAACACTTAAGGCCCTCATATACTCACAGCAAAGTTATTTTTCGTTCTTAGCTCATGAGTAAACATAAGTTCACTCATAAGCACCCACAGCTTTAGATAAATATGTAAAAGTGTGCTGCACTCTTTCCTCTCAATAACAAAATAAACACAACAGAAATGACAGCGGTGAGAAAACAGCAGTTAAGAAAGCATCTGATCATAGCAGTGTGGATATGTTTGCACCAGCTCTGCAATTCAGTACTCCAGTCAAGTCACATTATGCTTATTTATATAATGGCCCTGTTGAATGCTTGAATCTGATTGGCTGACGAACGTTCTAAGGTGTGCAATTATTTTCAGGGAAACGCACGGTTAAAGTAGTTCCAGGCAGGTCTTGACCGCATTACATGTCCATATCACTTCGCCAAATGATTTCCGTTATTTCAAAAGTCCTTACAGCCTAAAATGGTAAAATCCATAATGACACTGACCAAGCAAATAAATATAGCAAACAATGCAATAAAAACGACACATTTCTTCCATGTTTTTGCCACCAAACTACGTTTTATTATGTACAGAAAGCACATACTCTATTTCTCCTGCTCTCTGTCCCTTACAAACGCACTCACAGTACAGACACACACTCGCACACACGGATACACACGCACAGAAACATGTTAGCACTACTGTGACGATTTTATCAGTAAAATTATTTAGCAACTTAAAAGCTACAGAATATTTTTCACAAGGTTGTATCGTTGCGAAGTGCTGGTTGAGTAAAAATAAAAAATATACAGCACTCCTAATTTGTTGCAATTTGTAATTCTGTAGCATTATGTGCGTGTGTGTGTGTGTGTGTGTGTGTGTGTGTGTGTGTGCATGTTTATGTGGTTTATGAGGACACAAATTTGTATAATGA